GGCAGGGCAGGGGGCCGGGCTGGCACGCGTCTCCATCAGGACAGGGCTGGGGGGCAGGGCCGGGGGGCCGGGCTGGCACGCGTCTCCATCGGGACAGGGCTGTCCTCTCACCCTACCCTGCTTTAGCTCCATTTGAAACGGATCAAGGGGCAGGAAGGACACGCGAGATGGCCCCAGGATTTCTTTGGTGGGGTGCCTTCAGGAAGGAACTTTGCCTGAGAGGATGGGTGATTGCCTGGTGGTTTGTTACGGGGATTTCTCATGGAAATCTGCATTTACGTTGCATTTGCTTCTTTTAATACATTCCGGTTTTGTTTTTCAGTCTCTGCTTTCTATCCGTCAAGATGATAAAGTCGTTTGCCCGAGAACCAAAGAAGTCTTTCACTTCTCACAAGCCGAGAAGGTGTACATCATGTAGGCCCCGCGTCGCCAAGCGCATGCCTCGGGACGGCTGCAGCGGGCGGGGAGGCCGCGCCTTCCTCCTGCCCCGCATCCAGTCGGCCACGGCGCTTCTGTTTCTTGCGACCAAAGATCAGTGAGCAGCGATAAATACTCTTTAGGAAGAGAGGAAATAAGATTTAATAAATTTGTACTTGAAAACAACATTTTGATTGGTAGGATTTTGTAACATGTCAACCATTTGATGCTTCTGAAAAGTACTTTCAACTTTCGAAGGAAACTTTTCTTTAAAGACTGACCTAAACCCCGAGGGAAACTTTAGAACGTTTCAAAAATAGGGGTCCATGGTTTCCCCGTGTTTTTGGTTTCTCCCCTTTTGCGAACGGTGAGACTTGGAGAACGGGCTGGTCCCTCGCCACCTCCCAGCGCCCCTGGCCCGGCCTGGGAAAGGTGGTGGTGACGCTGGACCGAGCTGCAGTGACCCGCAATGCCGCGCCATGAGGGACACATGGCTTCCTTGGAGAGCTGCTGCCGTGGGGGGCTGGCTCTGAGGACGCCTGCCTGCCTTCGGGCGTGTCCGCGGGACTGTCTGCGTCTGTGCGTAGGGTCCATATCACATCCCCGTGTTCCGCCTTACTTCCTGCTTCGAGAATGTATAACGTGGAAATCCACGGGACCAAGTTTCTGCAGAGGCCTTGCCGGATGGTTCCATAACTGTAGAGTCAAATTAATCGTTCAGTTGAGAGTACTGGTGACGTTTCAAAGCAAATGAACCACCGTAGTTTACACAGAACCATATCGTAGAAGTTTGTAGTTAGCGCTTATTTTTGCATGTTGATGTTGACTAGCTAATAAACTGTAAATGTAAACCATGGAATAAAGTGGTTTTCTATTTCTCATTTCTGTGTGAGCCAAGGCTGCCGTTCGTTTCTAACACCCTGGGGTTGCGTCCTGCTCCTCCCTGGCCCCGGGCAGGACGGCGGGCATGCATAGCTTCTGCCGCACGAGCCACAGGGCGTGGAGAACACACCCGGAGGCCACTCTTGCCCGGACCGTGGTGGGAGCACAGCCCACCTCGGAGCGCTGCCCTGTGGCGTGATGGCCCCAGTGTCTCCAGGCCCCAGCTGGCAGCTCGGTGACTCGGATGCTGCTTCCTGGGACCTGCAGGCTGTTGTCTGTTGTGGGCGGGGGCTCAGGCCACAGCCACCAGCAAGCCCGGGCCTTGGGCTTGGGCTGAGGAGGCCTGCGGACTATGGCCACTGGCCCTTCCCCCACTGCCCACACCTGTTCTCTCCAGCGCCCCGTCCCAGCTCCTGTGGCCAGCCTGGTGCCCCTTAGCCCATCTCTTCCCCCGTGGCGGCTGTCCTGGCCCCTCCACCGCCGTGCTGCTGGAACCCAGTGCACTCACACATGCTCCTTTTCTGAGTGCCTGTCCTGGTCAGACCTTGGCCGGAGCAGACCCTGTGGAGCCACTGCCGCACACTCTGCTCCGGTGACGCAGCAGTCCCGGGCTCCATGTCCTCGAGTAGAACATACTGGAGTGCACACATTCTAAGTTCACGTAACAAATTTCTGTGGGACCACCACACAGACCGTTCCGGCCCCTGGCCTTTCCCGGTTGATACCCTGGTCGTTTGTCATCGGAGTGGCTTACCCAGTCCCTGAGCTCCATGAACACAGAGTCACGTGGTGTGGGCCACGGCTCGGCGTCACTCAGTGGCTCAGCCCTGGCATGGCAAAGTCTCACCTACTCACAGGCCTGTGCTCCATGAGAAGCAGCAGCACAGCTGCCCGGCTCCTCCCAGGCTGGCGGGCGTCAGGTGGTGTCCAGGCAAAGCTGCCGTGAACACTCTTGGGATGTGACCCTTGCTGGACACATCATCCTTTTGTGGGAAGATCCCGAGGAGTGGGATTGCTGGGTCATGGGTCCACTCAGCAAACACCGAACATTTGCCAAAGGGGTTCCACCCGCTTCCATCTGCTCCGCACCCGCGCCAGTGAGAGGCACTGTGAGCCTTGAATGTGAGCTGTTTCATTGGTTGGGTTCTCTCACTGTTCTCCTTCTCAATTGAGGTAAAAATTACGTACATTAAAGTGCACATATACGTAAAAGCTACTCAATGAGTGTTAAATGTGTGCCTACATGTGACCACCACTGAAGCCCAGGTCTGGAACGTCCCTGTGGCCCCAGAAAGTGAGCCCTTGTACCTTCTGAGTTATCCACAAGCCCTACTCACAATCACTGCCCCGATTTTTCACCAGGGGCTAGCTGTGCCTCCACACACGTCAGATGGTGGAGTGTGGACACCAGTGCACCTCGCTTGTTCCACTCCACAAATGGCTCGTGAGGCTCCTGCCTGTTGCAGGCGTCAGCAGCTCTTCCTCGGGTGTCGCTGAGCGGAGCGATAGTGACCCACGCGTGCACAGACCACAGCGCATCCATTCCCTTGGTGGACGCTTGGGTTGTTCCCTGATTGGGCCCACGATGAGTAAACCTCTTACAGTTATGTGCCAGTCTTCTTGCAGACAGTTTCATTTCTTTGGGAAGTAATTCCCTGGAAATAGAATGCGTTGAGTCATGGGGTGTTTATACATTTAACTGGACCACAGCTGCCAAAGACTTTTCCAGAGTTGGTGATGCTGGTTTACACCTCAGAGGCAGTGTCAGGGTTCCGTGGCCCCAGGTTGCTGCCAACACTTGGTGTGGTCCTGTTAGCCATTCAGGTGGGTGTGCACTGCTGCCTCAGTGGGGTTTCCTGCACTTTTCTCTGATGCCTGATGTTGACCTCCTGATGTGCTGATTGTTATATGTTTGCCTTTTGTTCATTTTAAATGGTGTTATCTTACTGATTTGTAGTACTTCACCTACAAATCCTTTGTGGGATATGTGTATTTATACTTTATCGACTGCCATTTGATCAGCAGATGTTTTAATTTAGTGCAGTTCAATTCTTTCTTTTGTGACTAATGCATTTCTATGTTCGAAAAAACAATCTCCCTATCCCAGGGTTACAATAATATTCTCTTACATCTTCTAAAAGATTGAGTTTCAGCTTTCACATTTAAGTCTGTAACACATCTCTGACGTGAGTGTGCTGCGTGAGAAAGAGCTCCCATCCCATGTTTATTCTACTGTTCTAACACCATTTGTTGAAAAGACCTTTCTCACCCTGTTGAATAATGTTGGCTCTATTAAAAAAAAATTCCTGGCTGTGTAAGTTGGGGTTTACTTCTGAACACTATCTTCTGTTAAATCGGCCTTTAGGTCTATTTTCATACGGTATCCTGATCATTGTAGGTTTTTTTTTTTGTTTTGTTTTGTTTTTTTTTTTTTTCCTGTTAATGGCTTTAACAGCAGATCATTGCAGTTTTAAGGCAAATCTTGAACCAGGGAGTCTGAGGCCCCCAGTTTGGCTTTTTCAAAATAGTCTGGGTGGTTCTAGGTCCTTTGCATTTCCACGTACATTTTAGAGTCAACTAATCAATGCCCACTGCACACTATAAGAAGTGTGCTGGGCTTTTCACTGGAGCTGCAGTGAACCCGTTGTCCCTACTTGGGGACAGTACTAGTTGGCTTGGCTGTGGTAACAGACCAAGACTAGGTGATTTAAACAATGGACATTGATTTTTTCATGGTTCTGGAGGAGATGCTGGCAGGTTGGCCCCCAGCAAGGCCCCCTCTCACTCAGAAGCCCCCTCTCACTCAGAAGCCCCCCCTCACTCAGAAGACCCCTCTCAGA